ATAAAAATGTTCATTCTCTAGTTTGAGAGTAATCATCCTGCGGAGCCCTTCCTATTGGAGTGTGGTCTGGTACCGACAGTATCTATAACTAAAAGCAGCCATAGTGCCATCCTGCCAGGCATGGAATCAGAGTGTGCGTTTGAGCCAGATTTCTAGGTGGTTCCGTAAACAATACAGTCTAATATGTTGACAGAAGGTGCTTGATACCAGGCACCTATCTCAGCAATTCTGATTTATGTACCTGGGAGAGGCTGAGACAGGCACATCTTAAAATACAACCTAATTCTGATGTGGGTGGTGTATGGGCCCCTAGAGCGAATCAAAGCCTGTGACCCAAGCACTCTGCTAGAAGACAGGGAAAGAGAGCCCAGAGCAACAGTGTAACCACCCTCACTGTTATAAGTAGGAAATGAGCCCTGCAGAAAGGGAAAGTCCTAGGCCCAGGTCAGTCTGCAGGTACCTTAACGTGAAACAGCACGCTCCTCTCTGTTCTCACTTTCCAAATCTCCTTCTCCAGCCCAATCAGCTTTACACTAACAGCTACTACACTGCCTGCGGCCCTCTCTCAGTCGGCTTTTGTTTCTAATGAAAAGACAAGAAAATGCTGCTGGCTGTTTGTGTTTGCTAGTGGTAATTCTGATTAGCTTAATTCTGTCAGCTGATTTCCCAACCAGCAAGGCCAAGAGCGGCCTGCTTATTCAATCAGGCCTAGACTATTTTCCAATTACCAGCATCATTTGGGCTCCTTCCCTCCACCCCTAACTGTGAACTTGCTGGAGCTCAGGTCATCTTCAGCTGTACATGAGAAATAGATAATCTGTCACGTCTGTATCTGTCAGTATGCCAGCCTTCCCTGCCTTAAGGATGAGCAAGTGTTTCCCTAGTTCCCAGGCTGCCACTGGAGAGACTGAATAGCAGGTCCCAAGAGGGGACAGAAGGCAAGTCCTCGGGATGAAAACAAATGCTGGCCTTCACTTCTTTCCAGCCTCTGAATTCCAAACTGTATTCCCAGTCACAAGCCTGATAGGGTGACCAATCACCCCAGTTTGTTGGTACCCAGGGTTTTCCCAGGACATGGGTCTCTCAGGGTTAAAACTGGGGGTGTTAGTCACCCTCAGGCAGTGTGAGAGCATTCAACATTTGCTACGTGGTATCTCTGGAATCTGGAACAGAGAATAACTGAGGATTGTGGTTCTATCTTTCTCTGTCCAGTACAAAGCTTATGATACATCCATATTATTTTGCTTTTGTTCTCTCTTGCAAATCAGATAGGAAGAAACATTATTTTCAATTAGCAGGTGTCTATGTGGAGGTCTCTGCAGGTATGTTCTTAGATAAGGAAGGAATGGCATCAAAGGAGGAATGACAGATGTGTAATCATGTTGAATGGGGACATATCATCCTTAAAATGCGCTCCCTGATTCAAAATCATGTAACATACTTGAAATGTACTACATGATATGGAACATACAGCCCTATATCCTGTATACTTTCAGCTGACTGATGGTAGAGATGGATACAAGTATGTTTCACTATATTTACTAGGAGACTATCTAGGGAAAGGCCGTGAGCACTACGGGAGGGAGAGTTGAGGTAATTCTACTTACTTTGTGCTAATTACTTTACATGCATTGTCTCATTTAACAGCCAACATTTCTTAAGCACTTACCACATGAATAAATCCATTTAACTTCTAGAATTCTATTACATTTACTTGATGATGAAGAAAATGAGGCTTTGAAAAGCCAAATAACTTGCTTAAGGTTGCAAGTTAGTAGATAAAGTATCTAAGGTTGGAATCCAAGAGCATCTGGGCCTTGTCTCATGCAGTATATACTACTGAATTGTCTACTTTTTTGGTGTGCCAGCAACTGGTTGGTTTTGGGGACCAGAGAAGTGTGGCAGTATGTGACAGACACATGAAGGGAAGTATGAGGGAGACTCCACTCTGTGGAATTCCATGTGAGTCCAGAAATGTCCCATCAGTGGCATAGGACCTCTGGAGATGCCGATGTTCTTAAGTAACTGCCTGAGCAAATGTGGTCTTCTGGCTCTAGATGCAATGGATTTCAAAGAATGTACAACTAGAATGCGAAGGCAAATGCCTGCCTATATTATCCTTGAAGGACTGCAGATGAGTGACACTCATCATTTTATATAATCTAGACTGCACTGTAAATCTCTCAAAACATGTTTTTCTTATGCATGTAGAATATCTGAGCAATTTGCTTTGCACATATAGAGTACTTACTATATGCAAATCAAATACAAATGCATTGATTTGCTATATCTAATCACAGTACATACAGTACATTGCGACAGTATGCTTAGCAGTCAGGTAGTCAACTGTTACCAACTCCTGAAATTACTACAGTAACAATCCACAAATATAACACTCTTAGAGGATCTGGATATGCTAAGTGTGCAGAGCCTGATATCATATAATTATTATCCCCATAAATATTCTCAATATCTGTCCTATACTTTGTAGGTTTAGGTTTGTATAAAGCAAGTACATAATGTCAGATAACTCAGTATTTAAAAAACATACTAAAATTAATCTTTTCTGTAATTATAGCAAGATATAAGTGTAGGAAGAATACTGTTTTAGGCAGGATTCAAAGAAATACAAGCTCCTGAGGAAAAACATACCTTTCTTGTTCACTTGCATTATTAATAATTCATGATTAATCTAATCAGTTTCTCTCCCAGCACACACAGACGCTCTTATCTAGACTACCAGCTTGTTCAAGGACTGACTGCGACCCTGAAGCTTCAAGTCAGCTCCTGGCACTGGCAGGTGCTAGAGTCCCTGGAGCCCCTCTTCAGTCATAGAAAATAACTGAGAGGGTTTTGATAGCAAAGAAAGGCTTTCTCTGCTTGTTGATTTACACTCAGCTTTATCTTACAATAGCCTTTATGCCTCTGTGCATAAAGGAGAAATTGACTTTCCCTTCTGTCCATCTAATGTTTCTGTCTGTTTAGCTCAGCAAAACTGAAAGTATGCATGTGGGAGAGCCTCTTCCTCATGGAGGGCTTTTGAGGAAGGTATTTTTCTCCCACCTGCACGAGCCTAAAGGCAACTGAACAAAACCCTCAGGAGCAGCCATTCCATGAGATGAGATGGCACAGTTTCTCTCTCTCTCTCTCTCTCTCTCTCTCTCTCTCTCTCTCTCTCGATCTTTCCTTCTTTCTTTCTTTGACACTTTCTGAAATTAACTTTATCAACCATTTCTAGTCATCCCACTCTCTTGAGCTGTTTGCACACCCTTTCTCCTTACACTGGCTGTTTACCCAACAGCCTTTATAAGGAATAAACTAGCAGAACTTCACTACATTTTCGTTTCTTTCCACATGAGTTGTCCAATTACAAGTCAGTCCCTGGCCCAAGAGTTTTCTAGCAAGTCACTGTGAAAAAAATGAAGAAAACTACATCTCTTTTAGCCAGCGATTTAAGAAACATCTCAACCATACACAGAGGTCTTGCTCTGTTCTACAGTAATTGAGTGATGCAAAGCAATATGTTTTTTGTCGTATACGCCCGTAGAACAGTTAGTGATTGCAAGCTGAGAAATTTCAAAGGTGACATAAAGTTCACCAACAGCTTCTTTGCCAGATACAGATCCTATATTGATGTACACGTGTCTTTTGAATTTTGACTCTTTCGCAGGCAGGGTCTTGCTGACCCAGAACGACTGCCCCTCCTAGAGCTGTCCAACAATGCCCAGAGATGACAGGCAACCCACGGGCAAGCAGTTTACAACCAACCAGTATAAATCAGCCAGTCTAACCCAGACCCAAACACTTCCACCATAAACTCCCACATTACCACAGGCAACAGACAGCTAGGGGCAACCCTCGTGCCCAGAGCCTGCTGACGTTATTCAGATTAGCCAGCCCTAAGCCTCCTTTGCCTGTGTCTTCCCACGGCAAGGCAGGGAGGCTCCTGCCCACGGGCGTCTCACTCCATCCTCTCACTGACTCAGTGCTTCCCCATGTGGTGGTTGGCGGTACGGCATGATCCTTTCTTTCTCAGCATGTGTGAGTACAAGTTACCTTTTTGTAGTCACCTGACTTATTGGCCTCAATGTACTTACATAGTAATAAAAGGTATAATTTAAAACAATAAAAGAAAGAGATACAGGTTGGCAAAAGCAGACATCCTGGCCCTGGCATTCCAGCCTTATTCCAATGGACTTGGATGGAACTTAGTTGCTCTACTCAGCATTTTAACAAGCAAAGGCGTCGTTTTATTCTATCTTACAGGACATGAAAGTACTGCACAGAGCCCACTAGAAACAGCTGTGATAAAAGTGTGGTGATCAAAGAATCACCTGTGAGAAAAGTGATGGAGTTTTTAAGGGTCTGGACTTCTAAAGCAAACAGTGAGTTCAATAGCAACAAAATACCTTATAAAGAAAGTATAAGTGACCCCAGTCACCCATACAATATTTCTAGAGATTCACCCTGAATGTTCTAGATTCTAATACACCCCTAAAACTCCCGAGCAGGAAGGTCAGTGTCAAAGGCAAAGTCCCTATGACATTATATTCTCGTTCAGGGCTGACTTTATTCCATCTGAAAGGCAGGTTTACTTAACTTTGCAGGCCTAGTAGCTGTCACATAGTAGTTGCTAAACACTCATTTACTGATGAAAGGAGTGTTTTTGATCATCTTTGATTAGTAATATCAGATAACATGCGAGATCAAAGATGCCCCTATAAGAGATCAGGTAAGTGAGTGAATGAGCTGAGAATCACAGCCATTCCTTCCAGCCCGAGCCAGCTCTCAGAGGGCAATCACCTGGCAGCAGTGCACTCAGTAGCAGTGGGCAGCTGGGCAACTCTTGGCCCTTGACTACTGAACTCGGTCTAGTTCTGCAACCTTCCCAGCCGACCTCTAGCTATTCGTGGGCACTCTCCACCTGCCTGGCAGTGTACTGTGACAAACGGTGAAGCCTCTGGGCACCACTCGGTACTCTCTGTGCAGGTGGCACTCACCAAGGGCTCTAGTTCCTTCCGGTCTATGAGGTTCATCTCTGTGACGAAGTAATAGAAGTGTTTGTAGCAGGTGTTGACGTGGGCTTCTGCACCCATCACGATGACTCGGTCGAAGTGGTGAATGTACACGTGGACGAAGACCCGAAAAAGGCGGCAGAGGATCTTCTTGCAGATCTGAAGGAAGTTCTTCGGGAAGGGAACACCTAGAGAAGCAAACAGAGAGAGGCATGGAAGCGTGACAGGAAAGCGCCTTTCCCAGTTAGGTCCACAGTAAGAACGCTGGCAGGGAGAGGGTGGGTAACTCTGCAGAGAAACCGGCACTCCTTCTCAGGACTAGGAGTGGTGTGGACGGCAGCCAACTCCGAACCTCCCTGTCCGAGGGGCAAGCTTCTCCCCTCCGGCCAGCAGTGGCCAAATAGGGACACAGGCCCAGGTATGGGAAAGTTTCTGCTTTCTCAAGATAATTCCAAAATCTGTGGTTCTGTGTGTACCTGGTGCATTTAAAAATGTTAAAAATTAGTTTGAAGAAATCACTGCAGGTTAAAGCAAAAACATCTCTGGCTTAGATCTGGCCCGTAAGCTACCCATTCACCAAGTCCAATACAAAATTCTTCTCAGTAAGCATTTTCCCTGAGGTGGGCACATTCAGCGAACTCCATAGGAGCTCTGCATCATCTCCACTTCATCGCTTTGAGCAAGGTAAGAGTTGGGTTTTTGTTTCTCACAGCCCAGAAAGGGTGAGTGGTTAGAGTCACTGAGACTGCCTCCTGCTCCTCAGCTGGTCAAAGGCATCAATAGTAGAATCGCGAGCCCATTTCCTTTTCCTCTCTAAAATACTGCTTAGGAGCCTGTTATTTATGCAGTCCTTAGAGACAGTGTATTGTGATGGGGTCCTAAGCTAGAAGCTTTGCTTCGCTTCCTGCTCTGCTCTGTGCTCAGCTGTATGGCGTGTGCAGACTCCCTGCCCCTGCTTCTCCTCCATGGAGGGGGATGGCAGTAAGGGCTGCCTTGCATGCTGTTACCCTGAGCACGACCCATCTCCAGTTTTGAGAAGACAGTAAGAGCACGCTCAGTGCAAGTGTTCCATTTCTCTGCCAAGGTAAGAGCAGGAGCGTAGCTGTTATTACAAGGAAAACTCCTTCACTGAGAAAAGACACACAGGACCACCAGCTTTTGAGCAGAACTGCAGGGCTCTGCTCCAGGCGTGTCCAGGTCTCAGGTGCCCAGCAGCCTTGCTGTCTCCACAGGGACCAGTGACACCTGTGAGACATTCTATAAAAGAGGATCACCTAGGGCACTTAGGGGAGGATGCAAGAGATGGAACAGGCTTGCCACCAGCAGTGACAGCATCGTCCTCCCCGGGGAAGATACCAGCTTTTCTTCAAAAACAAAGCAGCAACATATTCAATAAACCCAGGGAGATCGTAGACACAGCTTTGGGCTGACTTTTTGGGTAATCGATGCTGGATATGGGGCTGAGGGTGAGGTAAGCTGTGAAGGTAGAGGGCAGCCACATGCCGAATTTATGGCTTTCCCTGCTGAAGCAGGACCACTCAACTGCCAGTGCAGGTTAGTAGAAGGTCTGGAAGCCTTGGGGCTGGAGGTGACAGAATCTCCACTATGGTAGAAATCTCTATCTACTATGGTAGGCACTTTGGCCTCAGAAGGGAACCTCTGTACATGCTGCCAGGGATCTGAACATGTTCTCTTTACAAACTATCCGTGAAGTCAATTTTATTATTCCCATTTTACAGATGAGTAACATTGAGGTTCTACTATATCCTTTGTCTTGCTAAACAGTGGGACAGGGTTGAGATTTTAACCATGACAACCCAACTCTAAAATGCAATTTGGGGTGTTTAGAGTGTCACTTGTTCTCTAGCTTGGTTAGGGGCACCACTTGACTGCTTAGCATGATGCTACAGTTTATTCTCAGCTGGTACCGAAATATAAACAAGCCAATGAAAGCCAATGGTGAGAAAAGAGGACCAAGTCCACAGCCTCACAAGCTGTACATCTGGAGGCACCAGGAGGTCAGCTAACATACTCTGCTGCCTACACGGAGAATAGTGCTTTTCCTGTCCAGGCTTTAAGACTATAAACCTGACACTAACAACAAAAGCTAGTATTTACTGAACTCTTGCTATGCTAAAAAAACTGTGTGAAACTATCTGAGTGAATCTCAGAATAAAATTTATACTGCTTCTATCTTACAGATGACTAAACAGTCTTGAGGAAACTAAGTTACAGTATGGTCACCTCGCTGGCAAACTGTCTGACTCCAAAGCCACGAGCAGCCAGCCACACACGTTCCTCCCCAAGACCTTCCTCTCTGGGCAGCCTCAAGCCTCCGCCTCCCCTGGGTGCAGTCAGGTGGAGGCACACAGCTGCCAGGAGGATGGGGAGTTCGGGGGTTACCTGTCTCTCTGCCGGGCCCTCCCACCTTTCACCTCAGTTTCAGACGAGGCAATGTCGAGAGCTCTCTGAGGATGCACACGGCGACAGCCGGTCCCTCTGGACTATCTGTGCACTCTTCTCCTAGCTCTGGTTCCTGTCTCGGCTCAGTCCTGGACTCCCAGCTCTGCCCACCATTCTTCACCAGGTGTCTAACCCTGTCCAAGGCCTTAAAGATGGCTTTTCTTCTTTGGATTATGGCTTTAGAGTGGGTGAGAGAAGTTGGCTTAGATTCCAGAAGGCCTAGTTTAAAATCCTGGTCCTTCTACTTACTAGCTGTATAGGCAAGTTACAATATTGCTTTATTTTATTATAAAACTGATAAAATGTATTTACTTTATGGTATTTTTATATTAGCCTCTATATTGTATTTGGCCCTTTATGTATGTGCGGCAGGGCAGGGAATTTGATTACTTTTCACCTGACTTTCTCAGGTAAGCAGAATCCATCGGTTCTAGCTACAAAGTTGAGCTTGATTCATTCCCTTTCTTATATATAATTCATTCTGCAATCAGTTCAAATGAAGACATGCTTCAGCATGAAAAGCCATTGTCCTAGGTCAACTCTGAAAGCCAATAAGAAGCTGGGAATCCAAGTGAGCCTGGAACCACCGAAGAGTTCTCAGCAGAGCCCAAGTCAAACCTCAGCTCAATGAGTGAGGGACAGAACAGGAGAGCTAATACCGGGAAATTCATTCAATTAATAATGTTTCAAAGGCCAATCCTATAGCTTGTCTATTATTTTAGGCCTTTTCCCCCTTTCTCTTCTGCCTTCCAGATGTTCTGCTGTATATGTTAAATAAACTTTCTCAAAAGGTGGAAAAAGGAAGTAATGGTCTCCCCGGATGCGGGACGCCTCCTCCCCAGATTGTAGAATTTTTTGCCTTGCATAAGTGTTTGCATGATAGACAAGATAGGCAAGACTTGCCCACTTGGCCAGAGACCTCCTCAGCGACAAAGGGCAAACAAACTTCTGGGACCTTACCCTGTTACTCATCGAAAACATGAGTTGTAGTTTTTTCTGAGGCAGTCAGAGACTTAAAAATGGTTTTTGCTTAAATCTGTGCCTTTTCACTTTAGCCTACAAATGCCCCACAAACAATAAAAGCAGAACGAGGCGTGGCCCTCATTTCATATCTTTTTCCTCAACACTCTGGACACAGGTATATTAGTCATTTAAGGGGTGTCTATCTAAAAGTTGACAGAACAAAGCTTATTAGTCCAAAATTTTCCTAGCTTAATTCATCCCCTTTAAAACAGAGAATGCAAAATGTAACTAAGGGACCACCTGATCGCCAGCTTTTCTAGTTCCAGACCCCCTTCCCTGGGATGCTACTGGAGGTCTCCAGTCACTGACTGTCCTAACCTGATGTCACCAAGTTTCCAAAACACCAGAGCCCCACAGAACTGAAACACAGCCAACAGTATCACTGCGTGGGAATGTTACTGCCCTTCAAGCCACGAGGATTCCTCTAGAGCTATACAACCCGGACTAAGATAATGACTGATGGGATGCCAGCCTACTACAGCACCCCACAAAGCCTACTCGTCACAGTGTACCCCTCCAGCCACTGGCCAGTCTGCAGGCCCCTCCCTGTCTTTTCTCTTAGGTTCCAGTGGAAGCTTTTCCTTGAGATTCACACTTGCTTGCTGTTAATTTCTATTACAGTGCTGCCTCAGTTGATGGATGGCTATGAGCTTGAACTTTTCACTACCTGGACAGCAAAGTTAAAAAAAAAAAAAAAATCTGTTCTTGTGTTCATAACTTTGCTCAATAACCAAACTGGAAATCTGACTTGAAAAAACCTGTTTAGGCAGAGAGTATATCATGTGTAACATCTCACTGCAGACACAAAGGAATAACAGAGTGGCCTTCTCACTCAGACAACATAGTGCATATGTTAGTGTGTTAAAACATTCATCTTTGTGGGGGGTTTTGTGCTTTATTTGCATAAAATGTCATAAAAAGTTATCAATATCAGCAGTAAAGCTAAGAGGAAAGATAGATACATGAAAGATACAGTTAAAGCAAAAAAAATCATTGTGAAATTTGTTAAAGTCCAAAAAAAGTTCATTTATAAATATAATTTGGGGGCCTGAGAACCAATTTCTTGGCTTTCTATTATTTCTTATGGGAAAAATATGTTCAATTCTCAAAGTTTTTGGGTTTGAACACAAATTTGGAATAAACTGAGTTTGAGGTATCATTAAAGCAAGGATCCACACAAGCCAGGAGAGATTCACTCCCTTCGTGACAGAAAATGGATCTATCTGAGGGTTTTATTTTCTTCAGTATGCTGCAAAGAATTATCCCATCTCCACTGAACAGGCAAGGGAGTCTTGAATGGGACCCGCTATATGTGCATGTGCATCATTCAATCCCACGACATACTGATGAGCAGTGACATTATTATTTCAGACTTTGAAAACAGTGTACCTGAGACTTGACTCAGCTAAAGCATTTATCCCAGGCTACAAAGCTAAAAGGACATGGACTATAGCTCCAAAGCATGAGTTTATTTGTACCCCGTCCCCACAGGCTGCACGGTGGCAGGGAGTAGATGGCTGAGACCTCCACTTTATGGGCTGCACTTAGCTCAAAAGGCTAAGCTTGCAGGAGAAGCCCAAAAGCTGTAAGTGGGACACAATGACACATACCTATAACTCCATCTTTTCTGGGAGGCTGATGCAGGAAGATTGAAATTTCAAGCCTAGTTGGGGCAACTTAGTGACTTAGTGAGACACTAACC